ATTAGTCGACCAAAAATCATTCAACCGGAAAACCCATGCAATGTGTGCAAGGACTTGAGCTTTATGGTCAATCCTGTAAAGTTTCATTGAAATTGCATTAGTGATATAAGAGTTCTTACAAACCTTTAAATGTTTTTTTAAATTGACATAACTCTGACAAAAATCATTGAACTGAAAAAATGCTAACTATATGCATCACCAGACTTTGTATTGAACCAGTAGTTTCTGAGGAGAAATCCGGACAAGTTTGTGACTGACAGGCAGACAGACACGACGGAGAAGTGACCCCTATATGTTGCAACTAATCCGTAGAGGCGACACAATAAATGGATTACCTTAATTCTTGGACATTATGTACAACCCCTTTTTGACCGAAAGGAAATGTTTGATAATTTGAATATGATCTTGATCATTAAATGTCCTTGACAAAATTAAGTCATTGAACTGACAAAGTCCGACAAAGTACACAGCTACACTTTGAACTGGTCCTTCCTGTAAAGTTTTGATGAAATTGCACCAGTCGTTTCTGATGAGTAGTCCGAACAAGCTTCAATGTAGCTTGCAACACGAAAAATAAAATGCCAAAACACTTAAATTTATTCAAGAGCCATCCATTACTCAGCCGAAAATCATGCAAGCTAAAACCCCGAGTAGGATGCACCACCGATTAACCCTGTAAATTGTCATTGAAACTGCATAACTGGTATAAAAAAGGATTTTTCTTTGTTATTACAACTTTTTCAGAGAAATGATCGACATATTGGAAGACGTGTCGCACCCAAAATTTGGGTCGCTACCTTGAATGTCAAGGTCACAGCATGACCTTGCAACAAAATCATGTCCGGCCCATAATTTCGTTATTTGAAGTCTGATTTTACAACTATTTCACAGAAATGATCACCATATTGAGAGGACGTATCGTGCCCAACATTTAGATTGTTTTTAAACTTTCAACTTTAATTGTCTGTGACATAAATCTGACACAACAATATAGATATATGTACCTACGGAAAACGTAAAAAAATGGTATACATGTATTCTAAACAAAAGATAGCTCCATATCGTTTTCGACTTTCTCTGATCATATGCGTCTTCATACACGAAATGTACATTTTGAAAGCTAACACTTATATATTATATTAAAGGTTTTCGATTCAGTCAGTCCCTTAACCTTTTACCCCATGAGCATATGTTGCGAAAAATGGCAGTTTTCATTGAAAAGCATCCAGTTACAAGTGCCAACTGCTATAAAACTATGAAAAATGCTTCAATACTGATGAAACTTGGCACACATGCTAAATCTTAAATTTCTTGTTACCATGGTAACGGCGAAAAAATCACTATTTTGCAATTTTTTCTTTCCTTTCAAAGTGCTGCTACTTTTCAATGCATTGAGATAGAGTAATTTTAAGGCTTTTCAGCGTTGGTTACACGTCACCTTAAGATTGACCTGGGGCAATTTTTAACGTCACATGTCCAAAATTTTAATGGCGATGAGGGGGTCTACCGCCTTCGACCCCCCCCCCCCCCAACAAAAGGGGGCACATCTCCCTTCATGTATCATTTTGAAGGGGCCGCGCCGAAAATGTGGACATTTTTTTAACAATATTTCGCAATGAAAAAGTGTTTGGCGCCTCAATGGGCATTTTTCACCGTTTGAGGCCTCAAAAAAATGGGGGGCGGGGGACAAAAAGCCGTCAAAACACTATATATGTTCAGATCCAATATCATCAGAAGTTTGTATACATTTATGAACGGCATAATGTTTAATACAGATATTATTGAGTCAACTTGACTGTTAAATAAAAAAAAATATTCTATTTAAATTATACATAAACATTTTGTCGGATCTTATCATATATTATTGAATTTTGACTTAATCTTCACTTTGAAAATGTAGCGGTTTTTTAATAATTTAGTGATTGTGGAAATTTCAAACATAATTAAAGTTCATTTTTGTACAAATTCAACTCAGTCACAAACATCTTTATCACATTGTGAAATAATAAAACCACCTTAAACCGACTTAAAGTTGTTTTTGTTTTCTTCTGAATCTTAAAAACAATTTGGATGGCTACATTGTAATTGTTGAGGATTTATTTTTCAAACCAGATAAAAGAATTTTCTGCTTCCGTGTAAACTGATTGTAAACGTAAACCCACATTTATATATGTTGATGTATAGAACTTTCTAATGAAATCGTAACACTTGACACAGCCTTTTAGAAGTAATCTGTCAGCGTGTCCTCTGCAGATGAAAAGTCACTTTTCCATACACGTCGATACTTTAAATTTCAATGTACATTCTTTTATGGGAGTCGCGTTTACATCTGAAATAGGTATCTATACTTCTTAAAGCTGCAGTCCTAAGATTTTGAAAGAGAAAATATTCTAGGTCAAGTAATTATTTACTTTCTATGTGTGATAAATGACTGATTTTGCAGTATTTTGCCATATTTCTAATGCATGACGTGCATGTATATATCCGGGACATGACTTACCCAGTTAATGGGCTATTTTTTGCATATTGTGATCTCTTATTTCAGATTTATCATAAGTGCCATTTCAAACTTCCTTGTTCATACGACAATATTTTACTTTTAAATAATTTTTAAAAAATCAATATTAGCATTAATCAGGAGGTATGACGTTAAAGCCCCATTTTCTAAAGTTAACCATGAGAGGGGCACGCAATCGACAGTGCAAATATTAATAAACATTTGTATGTGCAATTATATTATTTACGAAAACTTGGGTGGGGGTTACTTCTTTTAAAGCTCAAATTTAATTTTTTTTTCCGAAACTTTATTTATAGTTCAAAATCATAGCTGGTTGTAGATAAAATCAAGCAAAATTCAGAAATTTGACCTTAAAGGTCGATGTCATTTGTGAGTTTAGGTCACGTTTATCATAGTCATCCAAAGAATTGTTGTGTCCAGGTATAAAGGAAAACCATTAAGAAACAAAAAATGTCGACAAATACATGTATGCCCCCTTTCTAGCCCTTGACTGACATTGGTAATTTTGTTATAGAAACTTGCCATAAATGGGTACATGGAAGTGTTCAGTTATGGAAAAAATAGAAAAATAATTAAGACTTTGTCATAAATAGTTTTCAAGACAATGAGGGAAAACTATTCTGATATTTAAAGGAGACACAGGCAAAATGTTCATATTTTAGATTTTGATTTTCTATCTAATATTCTATAAATGTCATCGAAATGAATAGACTAAGCAGTCTAGGGAACAAAATTTTTCTCCATATGAAGAAAAAATTGTTGGTTTCCTAACCTGACCAACGCGGGTCAGGTTAGAACATTTAGATTTCACCACAGTTATCACTGTAAACTATAAAAACGTAAAAGAACCTGTCAAATGATCGACTTCATTAGGCTTGTTTTAATCTACAATATCCACAATATTTGTTTTTAAAACTTTCTAGGGATTTTAATTGTCAAATGACTTGTTTAAAAACTACTCGTTAGTTCAGTCTGCGTCGTTATTTCGTTCAACATATGTAGACTTATTTACGTTTTAAACTGAAAAAAAAAACGTACTGGGACTTTTAAAAACTTCAATATAGCGTAAGTTAAGTAAATATGGTAAATTTAATATTTTGTCGTATATTTGCCTGAGTATCCATTTAATGCGCCTTTGACATTGACCTTTACAGACATATAGTTTCCCAAAATCAATATGGGTCGTCTACTAGTTATGACCAATCAATATGAAAAAATGAAGACTTTGTGATGAATAGCTTTCAAGATCATCAATGGAAACCATTCAAGGACCCTGTGACATTGACATTTGACCCAAAAATCAATAGGGGTCACTTACTAGTTATGGCCAATCAGTATGTGAAATATGAAGACTTTGTGATAAATTAATTTCAAGATAATACATCCTAATATCTAAGGCCCCTGTGGCCTTGACCTTTGACCCTAAAATCTATACGGTTTACCTTCTAGTTAATGACCAATCAGTATATGAAATAGGACGACTTCGTGTTAAATAGTAATCAAAATAATGAGCTGAAACCATTTTAACATTTATGACCCATGGGACCTTTCCCTTTGACCTGGTGACCCCAAAATCAATAGGGTTCATCTACTACTTATTACCAATCAATATGCGAAATATGAAGAATTTGAAATAAAAAGTAACCAAAATAATGAGCGGAAATCATAATACCATTCAAGACCACATCTCATAGTTATGACCAAACAATATGTGAAATATGAAGAGTTTGTGATAAATAGTTTTCAAGATTATCTTGATAAATAGCAAACAAGATAATGAGCGGAAACCATTCTAACATTTCACGCCCCTGTGACATTGACCTTTGATCTAGTAACCCCAAAATCAATACGGGTCATCTATACTATTTATGACCAATCCATATGTGAAATATGAAGACTGTGATGAATAGTTTTCAAGATAATCAGCGGAAACCATTTTGACATTTAACGTCCCTGTGACCTTTGACCTAGTGACCCCAAAATCTATAGGGTTCATCATATAGTTATGAACAATCACTAAGTGAAATATAAAGATTTTGTGAGGAATACTTTTCAAGATAAAAACGGAAACTATTCTGACGTTTAAGCCCCTGTATCCTTGACCTTTGATCTAGTGACCCCAAAATCATCTATATATACTAGTTATGACCAATCATTATGTGAAATATAAAGACTTTGTGATAAATAGTTTTCAAAATAATCAACGAAAACCACGGATTTATATAAATCCCTTGCGGAAACCATGTGGTTTACCGACGGACAAAGCAACGGACGGACCGACAGACTGACATTTAACAAAACAATATACCTACTCTTCTTCGAATAGGGGGGGGGGGTGGCATAAAAATAGAGAAATATGAAAACCGCATCGCCAACGACAACACAACTACATAACTACAGCATTAGCTGGATTTCTGCTTGGAAAAGTCGAGCTAAAATCATTTGTAAACTTTATTAACAACCAAAACACAAGTTAGCACTTAAACATTTTAACACACTTTAAATATATAAAATAAAGTTTATATAATACATGATCGAGCTTCCTAGAGCAATGAGTAATAATTACTTAAGACTTCTTTGGATGTTTCCTTTGCATATGGGCTCTAACGTGGTGTGGCAATGTAAATTTCATTCCACAAACTTTGCATTCTTCTTTCTTTTCTCCATGCACTAATACATGAGTTTGAAGATTGCTTTCATATAAAAATGACTTTTCACAGATGTTGCACTTGAACTTTCGAATACCAGTATGTTTCAATTTGTGAGCAGCAAATGTCGCTTTTTTGTGATAAATCTTCCCACATATGTCACATATAAATTCCTTAGTTTGTTTCACAATGTTATCTGTATTAAAATGACTTTTCAAATGAGCAAGCGTGTTGATATCTGGGCAATATTCAAAACACACAGGACAGTGCATAACATGAAATCCTTTCCTGTTTTGTATCTCCGTTGAGAAATGTTTTTTTACAGTCAGCGGCTTCTCAAAATGTTTTAGGCGAAGGTGCATCTGTGCATCAATGAAAAATGAAAATGTCTCTCCACAATACTCACATGAAAAATTTCTTGAAATATTATTGTACACTTCGCCTTGAACAATTTTAAAGGTACAATGTTCTTGTTGTATATGCTCCATGAGAAACACATTACTTTCAATTCGCTTTTTACAGATCTGGCAAAAGTCACCTTTTTTATTTTCTTTTTTTTCATGGTATTGCTTTACATGTTGCAAATAGAGTCTACGACTTTCAATTTGAATATTACAAATTTTACAAACGTTTATTTTCTTTTGGCAATACATTTTTTTCACTCTTTCCTCACTAAATTTTTCAGGCGGTTTAGCATCATTGAATTTCTGTTCATCCATCATGAATTTGTGTTGATGAATTTCCTCACATTTATCACATTCAAATATAGGCATTGATCTCTGACATGTCATTTCAACACAATCATCACTTTCATTTACGCAGGTTTCGTGTTCATTGTCAAAAAACTGTTTCTTCTGATGTCTTTCAAGTACTGCTAACCCTGCACAGTAAAGACCACATCCAACACATTGCCGCATATTGTATTTATCACCATGGGTGTTCAACATATGGTTTCTAAGACATGTGTTGGTAGAAAATTTTATCTTGCAAATTTTACATGTAGTTTCTTTGCTTTCCTTTATTGTAACTGTTTTTGAATCAATGATATGAAAGTGTTCACAACCTATGCATTTTCCATCTGCTTGTAATGCCTTGAAATAAAAGTCAAAGTCAATATATTCTAACCTTGTAGATGTACTTATTTGCAAAGCTTCATTTTCTTTTTGCTCACCGAGTGTTGATCCATGGTCTGTTTGAACATGAACCTTCAATTCGGCTTTTGTTAAAACATTTTTTCCACAAGGACACTTGAACACAGTGTTTGAAGATGACAGAATAACCCACGACGGAAAATGTTTCATGAAGAAGTGATTCTTAGCACATACAATATTTGCAAATCCCAGTTCACATTCTTCACATGAAGTTGTCTTATCACGATCTGACATCTTTACATGAATAGTGTAGCATTTCTTACACATGTAAGTTTTAGCCCTATCTGATAACTGGATTTTGGTCTTTTTGCATGCTACAACATGCTCATCTCGATAGGCAATGTCATCATATCCTGCATAGCAATGTTCACAGTAAATGGAATCAAGATCATGGAACCTTCTTAAGTGAGAAATGTATGATAATTTTCTGTAAAGCAAGTGATCACATATAATGCATTTAAAAGCATTTGAAATGCAATGTTTCAATAACACATGTGTGTAACAACATTCTAAATCTTCAAATTTTGCAAGGCAAAACAGACAGAAAAAGTAATTACCATTAAACATAACATCAAAATTACTTGGTTTCCATTCTGAGCTCTCGTTCTGAGCCCTAGTAACTTTCTCACTTCTACACTCTACATCATCTAAATTTTCATAATCAACATTATCTATAACATCATGCTCTGTGTGGTTTTCTGCTTGAGGATTCAATATGTCTCGAGTCTGGGATTTCAATTCAGATTTACTTGATTTTTCTTGAACAAAAGCAGTATTTGGACCTTTTCTACCATATGGTGTACCCTCTTTCAATCCATAAGTAGAGTCGTCTTCTTGGTCATGTTTTGCATTGTCCTCAAAACCAGAGCTAAAATGGCCATCTTTACAATTCATTTTACCTTCTTGCATTCCAGTATTTAAAATGGGGTTTTCGCCATTTCTTGAACAGACTAAACTATCAGAAATTGAGTGCTCTACTTTACCATTTGTTACACCTTCTTCTATGTCAGAACTGGGATTGTCTTCTTTATCATGTCCTAAACGTTCCATTATGGTTGGATTAGACTGTTCTACTTCACCATTAGTTGCGTTTTCTTTCATGCTAGAACCAGATAGGTCTTTTTGATCATGTCTTATACTCTTTAACACGGATAGGTTGTTTTCTTGAACATGTATTGCATCTTCTTTTATGCCTGAAACTGAATGTTTCTCTTGATCATGTGTTGCAATTTCTGTAATGTCAAAACTTGAATGGTCTTCTTGACAACGTGCAGAACATTCTTTCATGCTAGAAATTGAATTTTCTTTATCATCATGTCTTAAATGTTCTACTGTGTCAGAACTTGATTGTTCTACTAGACCTTTTACTGCGTCTTCCTGCATACCCGAGCAGGTAGCCTTATTTTGACCATGTTTTAAAATTTTCAAAGTGTCCAAACTTGAATAGTCTTCAAGACCACGTATTGCACAATCTTCAATGTCAGAAATGTTAGTGTTTTCCTGATCGGGTGTTGCACTTACTTTTATTTCAGAACTTGTGTTGTCTTTTTGACCATGTGTTGAACTTCCTTTCAAGCAATAATGGGTGTGCTCTTCTTGACCAAGTGATGAATTTTCTTTCAAGCCAGAAGCAGAATCATTTCCTTTTCCACATGAACCTACTACTTTACATGAATAAGTGTGGTCTTCATGGCTACTATTTGAACCCTCTTCCATACCAGGTCTTGAGTGGTCATCTTGGCCATAAATTTCGTATTTTTCCGTGCTAGAACCTGAGTGTTCTTTATTACCATGTTTTGAACCTTGTATCATGTCATCATTGGACTGGTTTTCTTGAAAATGTGTTGTACTGTCTTTCATATCAGTGTCTTTCATATCAGATCTGTCAGAACCTTTTTTCTTACCCTGTAAGAAATTTGTTTGATTGTTTCTTATTCTACTAAAAATAGCCTCCTTTCCTGTGGAATAACCATTGATTAGTTCCTTTTCTTTGCTTGATACAATGCAATTATGTATTTGGTCACAGTCATTGCATGACAATTGTTGATTAAAAATTTTTTTAATAAAACTTTTACAATATTTGAAATGATCATTCCTGTGAGAATTAAATCTTTCATCACACTTCACACATGTGAATTTATAAATAGTGTGGTGATGCTGTAAATGTCCATTCAAAATATTAAGACCATGAAAATGTTTCTTACATACTGGACAAGTATATACTGCTGAGCCGGGTTGATAAGAGAAATAATAGCCATGTTCTGTCAACACATGGTTTTTACAACATGAGATATGTTTAAAATCAGAATGACATACTTGACAGATAAAAGTTCCATTAACTTCGGCAATTCTGTGTTTCATGTCTTGAGATATATGTTCCATTTCATTGGCATTTTCAACACTTTGACAAGTTGCATCCTTCTTCTGTAACTCAGCAATTATGTTTCGTTCATTAATGAGTACTTTCATAAACTTGTTAACATCCAACAAATCCTTCTCTGAACATTTTTTCTCTTGGGATATGTTTTCATTTTCAGAAGTTCCATCAAATGCACGCGATAAACAATCTTTAAAAAGTTGGAAATCACAAAATGAAAACAAATGCCGGGTCTTGCAATGACATTTTGAGTTTCTTCTTTGAAAAAAACTTGCTTCCAAAATGGTTTCTTTAGTCAATTCATCAAAATGACAAACTATCAAATGGTTCAAACTACAAGCAAATGTCCAAGCTTTACTATTACATTCTTTGCAAATAAAGCGTCCACTAAATGACGCTATACTCTCTAATCCGAAGCAATTGACAAATCCTTGTTTGATCAAGGATATAACATTTCTATCATTATAATTCAATGTATTTGATTCATTTGCACTTAAAACGTTACCAAAAGCCTTTCTATAAAACAGTTTCTTATACTTTTCACATATGCCAACTCCGTGCCTTTGTTTGCATGTTTCACAGTTAAAGACAAATGAAATTTTATTTAACATGTGAAAATTATTCCTATCAGACTCTGTCATATGGATAAGAGCAACGTGATTGACTGCACATGAAATATATTCAAAAATATTATTGCATTTTAAACAACGAATTCTCGTTGGTGCATGATTATATATATTCTTTTCAATCGCTTCAAACTTTTCTTTTAATATGTTTACTTCTTTCTCTTCAGGCATAGTTTGTAAAATGTCATTAATGAGAGCTTCTGCTTGACCTATTGGATTGTATATATGAAAGAATTTGCATTTTACACACTCTATATTGCAATGGTAAAATAGTCCATTTAGTTTTCTAATTTTAATATAATTGGAATTACTTTTGCAAACAAGAAGGTGCCTCTGTAAATCAATGACTGAAGCAAATCTTAGACTACATCTAAGACATTTCATTTCACAAAGAAAATGCAGCATTAAGTGGCATCTTAATCTACTATTTATGAAACTGTCATATGATCTCTGGCAAATAGGACACTTTGTCAATTCCTTTCTTGTGAAAGCAGGATTGTGATAGAGTATCAAATGGTTGATATAACAATTTGTTGTAGTAAATTGTGTCTTACATCTATCACAACTATGGCAATTATCATATGAACAATCTTTCTCTCTCAAATTTTTATCAGATCTTTTACTTTGAGATATTATAGCTGCATTTGTGGGCTTTTTTGGTAAAGTATCAGTCTGAAACTTTCTTACATCAATATTGATATTAAGCTTCCTTGTTGTGTTTATGGGCATTTTCTCTTTACTGATATGATCTGTTTTCAATTTGCTGTTTTTCGCTTCATTATCTGAGTTCATTTTATTTTCTCTGGCATCTTTTGACATATCAACAGCCGCAATGCATTCCCCTGTTTCTTCACACTTAACATATGCCATATCATTTGAACTGTTGATCTGTCTTTTATCAGCTTTGTTTTCAATATTTATAGATTGACATGTATCCCGTAGACTAATAGATTTGTCTCTAGTATCAGAATTATTCAAATCTTTAGTGTCATTTAAACCTGTGATATCACATAAATTTAAATCATCAGTATCATTCAGACTTCCAGTGTCACTTATACTTTCACCATCACTAAGATTGTCCAAGTCAACCGAATAACCAGTATCAAAAAGACTTTCAGTATCACTTGACTGTTCATTGTCACTTTGATCTTTTTCAAGATTACTCTCACAGTAAGAACGAACAGCTCTTTTCCTGAGGAAATATCTATTTCTATCATTTGATGACATAGTTCTTTCACTCACAGCATCTGGGTTTTCTGCCAACAATACGTTTTCCTCAACTATGTCAGTATTCATTTTATTATTTGCAACAACAAATTTTTCTACAGTCTGTTTTGGCACATTTGAACTGATGTGTATATTATTTTTCTCCTCTAAATTATCTAAAGGAAATAATTGGCAAACAGGTCTATCTTTGTCAGTCATTATGTCTGTACATTGCTCTCTCAGTAAGGAATTATTTGCATTTTGAACCACTGTTGCAACATTCTGCTTTGTTTCAAGGCTGTGTGTGTCTATCAAAGAGTGGCAATTTGTTACTCCAAAAGTCTTTTCTTCACCAGTTTGATGAAAAGTTTTGCATACATTATCAGTCTTTGGTACAGGATCAACCTTAGATGAATAAGACTTTATTCCATCCGACAAACCAAAAGATTCTTCAGTCATGTCTGTATAAAAAACTTCAGTGTTCCACACAAAAGTATTTGCAGATGCAATTTTTCTGCAATGATTTTCATGCTGGGACTCACTTCTGTTTAAAACTTGTATCAAGCTTGTAGGTGTTTTACTGATGTTACTCTCAAAAACTTTCGCAATGGCAATATTTTTCTTTCTAAGATTCAAATCTTTTCTGTTTTCATAAGTTTGGTGAGGAATTTCCTCAGAAATGATATCCAGATGTCCCTGCTTCCGTTTTAAGGTAAAATCTCTATCTATTTCTGTCTCATCTGACTTATCTTTATGACTACCTTCATTTATGATTTCTGTTTTACTTGGGGATCTCCTACAAATTTTCTCTGGAGGTTGGCATTCTTCTTTTGAGCTGACTGACTTTAATTTAACAGATTCTGCTGCTGTTGAGTTATTACAATTGGGATTGTCATTCAAATTATCAGTATATGATCTGAAATGTTCATCCATAGATTTAAGTGAAGGAAAGTAACCCTGGCATTCCCCACACCTAAATATATTGACAACTTTGGATCCATTATAAGACCCATATGCTATAACACGTCTTCTTTTAGTTCTTGGCACTGACATTCTTATCTGTATCTGCAAAAGAAAAGGATGATATAATTGATTACATATAATGAGGAATTGTAACACACTACATATTCGCAGACATCGCGCTCCACTATGCATATCTAGGGATGGTACTGATCACTCCTATGTAGTTTCATTGAAATCCAGCCAGCAGTTCGACCTATGAAAACCGGACAATCTGAATGCGAACAGATAGATGGACGCCGTCCTGACAGAGAGACAGCTAGGGCAAAAACAATATGCCTCCCAAATATTTCGGAGACATAAATACAAAGTTATAGTCAGTTACAACACAGATTTATATTAATATGAATCCGTGGTTACAAAAAGAGAATTTGACCTTGAGACAGCCAGACAAGATTTTTTATACTTTTAGCTGCGGTGGCCATTTTGTGTCGCAGAATCAGATTTTACCGTGATGTGCACAACCTGGGATGGTACTGATCAATCCAGTAAAGTTTGGTTGAAATCCCACCAGTAGTTTGACCTGTGAAGGCTGGACAAGATTTTTCTATTTATAGGTCTGTAGGCGGCCATTTTGTGCAGCAAAGGGGAACATGTCGTTGATGTGCACAACTAAAGATGGAACTGATCACTCCTGTAAAGTTAAAATCTCACCAGAAATTTGACCTGTGAAGGTCAGACAATATTTTTATATTTTTAGCTACGGCGGCCATTTTGTTCAGCTAAGCCGAACATGCCAGTGATGTGCACAACTAGGAATGGTACTGATTACTCCTGTAAAGTTTGGTTGAAATCCCACCGAAAGTTTGAATTGTGAAGGTGGGACAAGATTTTTGTACAACAAAATGTAATAGCTCTGGCGGCCATTTTGTGCAGCAAAGGGGAACATGCTGGTGATGTGCACAACTAAGGTTGGAACTTATCACTCCTGTAAAGTTTGGTAGAAATCCCATCAGAAGTTTGACCTGTGAAGGCAGGACAAGATTTTTCTATTTTTAGTCCTGGCAGCCATTTTGTGCAGTGGCGCAGAACCTGCTGGTATTGTGCACAGCTGGGGATGGTAATGATCACGCCTGTAAAGTTTGGTTGAAACCCCACCAGTAGTTTGACATGTGAAGGCCAGACAAGCTTAATGTCCACGTACGGACGAACCGCTATGGCAAAAACAATATGTCTCCCAAAAATAAAGTTAGAGCCATTCTAAGTTCTGGCCTTTTATAACTTTGGCCAAAATCATCTGACCAAATTCAAATTTGACATGCTTATTCCTATAATGTATCTATATGTCAAATCTGAGTTGAATTTATACAACTGTTGTGGAGATAATGAACAGAAACTGAAAATTCCTTATTCTTTTCAAAGTGCAAGAGTGACCACTAACTCAGGGTTCTCAATAAATTATTCATCAGCAGTCAATAAGTAAATTCCAGCAGGCCTTTTGTGTAATTCAAACAACAATTTTCTGCATAAAAGTAAAAAAACTGTTTGTTAAGTAACAAGTCTTTTTTAACTATTTATAAATCAAATCCATACAAAAAGAACAAAATAATAGCAATTTAACCAAAATTCAATAATTTTACCTTGAATTTAATACTCAATGTCAAGGTGAAATTATTGAATTCTGTTCAACCCTTTGGAACTGGCCTTATGAAATGTTGTTTTGTCCAAGTATGAGTGTAATCAATTGATTAAGTATGAATAAAATCCATTGATTAAGTGCCAAGTTACAGTCAGTGCCAAGTTACAGTCAATCAGTGAAGATTCAATAATTTAACCTTCAAAGTCAAGGTCGTCAATAAGCTGAGGTCAATATGAGTTCAACATACATGAAGGTCTTATCCTAAAGAATGTTGTATCTTAATATGAGACTCATTCATTCATTAATAAGAATGTAATAGCCAGTTACAGCAAAAAAGAGAAATTTTAAATAATTTGACAATTTTGGTCAATGTCATTTATATAATTTAGTGAAGGTAAAAGTCTACGTATTAACTTATTCTTCTTATCATAGAAGACTGTTATGTTCAAGTTTGAAGACAATCCATTTTGAAATAACAAAGTTATATCTTATCAGCAAAAATTAAGCAAAGTTTAGGCATTTAACCTTAAATGTCAAGGTCATTTATAAATGAGGTCACATTTAGTCTGGTCTCTTTAAAGGTCTTGTCTCAAGGATTCTTGTGGCCAAGTATGAAGGCAATACACCAAGAACTTAAAAAGTAATTCTCAAGATTAAAGTTTTCGATGGCAACATGACTGTAACAATACCGATATTTACTTTCTTTGAAAAGAAAACAACTTGAGGTTAAAAACTGACCAATGTTAATGTTTTTGATGGCATTGGCAATGACAAAGGCACAGCAACTACAATATACTTATTGCAATCATTATTGTAGAATAATGTTTCAAATAATCTCTCAAGTTAAATCAATAAATTAAAGTTAATTTAAATCTTACTTGATCAGTCCAATAAATGAGGAGTATACATTGCAAAATTTGTGCGTCTAATCAGTCATGGTCCTTTCTCCGGTTACATCTGTCTATACATCGACTTGTATTATGCCTGTACCTTCCCCTGCAATTAAGCAATATCATTTTTTCAAAGTCAAAGCATCTCTTATGTTCTGAACATTTAGGTTTGTCTTGAGCTAACCAAATCGAACCACTTATATTTTGCCATCAATACAACCATAAAAGCATGATCAAAAGTTCTGAAAACAGGTTTATTTTTCTTTTAACAATACTAAGCATTAAACATATGAGCCGCGTCATGACAAAACCAACATAATGGGTTTTCGACCAGCATGGATCCAGACCAGCCTGTGCATCCACGCAGTCAGATCAGGATCATTTCGCTATCAGTTTCTGTACTTGTAATAGGGTGTGTAAGCGAACAGCATGGATCCTAATCAGACTGCGCGGATGCGCAGGCTGGTCTGGATCCATGCTGGTCGCAAACCCATTATGTTGGTTTTGTTGTGACGCGGCTCAATTATGTGTAAATAAAACATAGGTAAGTTCAAACGGAGTCACGCCAACCAACAAAATTTATTTCCAATGTTTGGAAATACTTATGTTATTCACAACTGAAAATGAAAAAATAGCAGTTTGTAAAACATGCCATGGCGAACTGACTTATACCGGTGGTATAAGAAATGTGTCTAATCACATAAATGGACAAATATTTACAAACACATTTGGAAGTAAATTTTACTGGTGGAATTTTTTATAAGGGCGACTTCTTTTCAGCCATTGTTGCAGACAGGATGTTAACATCATACTGACGTAATTATTAACTTGAGTTTCGCACATTTTGGATTATTAAAAATAAAACCATCCTCGAAACATGTCACAGCAACTGAAATATTTATTTATTTTCATGAAAAACATAGTGCTAAATAAAGATAGAGTGATTCCTTTTTTCGAAACTTAAGTGACATACTAGCTCAGCATCATGGTACTTGTTTGTTTACTATCTGTCTTTAATCGGTAAATTGTATTTTGGTTAAGTCGCATAATTCATATTCAAAGCGTATTTTTCTCGACTTTTCGAGTTTGAGAAACAGTGAATGTATAAAGATAAATAAGATCGCGATCCACGATCTCTAGACTGACGAATATTTGTATTCGATTTTTCATTTTGATTCGTGGTTTGATCCTAGTACTCGGATACTCACCCCAGCCCTAGTGACACAAACTAGTCACTAGGTGATTTTGACTGTAAAGGTTGTGTGCAGCAATTTTATGACAAATTTATCACAAATCTTACCAAATAACATATGCATAAATTTTATGAATCATGAAGGCCTCCTTAATTACAGCCAAATTGTCATATTACATTACACTTTGAAATCTTTATACCAAAAGCATTTTAAGTTTAATAAAAAATATCAACTAGAGTTGTTGAGTTATTGGTCGGAAACCAACTTTTACGTACAACGTCAATGTGACTTTGACCTTTGACCCTTAAATCAATAGGGGTTAGCCTATCTACTTGCCAAGACCAATGCACCTGTGAAGTTGTCGAGATATTGATCAGAGAGCATTTTTACCTATAAGGTCAATTTAATCTTGACCTCTGACCCCTTGACCCCCAAAATCCTTTGAGGTCATATCCTGACCAAAAGACATGCATCTGTGAAGTTTGAAGGTCCATGGGTTGCCCAGTTATTGCTAGGAAACTGTTTTGACATACAAGGTCAATGTGACTTTAACCTTTGACCCACTGACCCCAAAATCAATAAGGGTCATTTACTGGTCATGAACTATCCTCATACCAAGTTTGAAGTTCCTAGGCCTAAGCGTTCTTTAGTAATTGATCAGAAACCATTTGGTCTAAGGACCAACATACAGATAATGCAAAGTAATATATCCCCACTTCTTTGAAGGGGGTATAACTAAATGACTCCACAGGATGAACCTTTTTTCACTCCAGGGACATTATATATGTCATTTATACAAGATTAGACTAAAATGTGTTATTGTATAAATATGAGTCTTCATAAACTACATGACCAGTAGGCCAATTTTGACCACAAGGGGATGACTTAAGACCAAAAATTGATGCTACATGCCAAATATTTATGCTCTATTCATTACAGTTTCAACCAAGGAAAATATTATTGTTGATAAGATTTCTAAGTAAGTGTATAGAAATTATGTTGCCATGAGGGCTCTCCACAGGCATATTTCATTAAACCGCAAAATTGTTACATGCCAAATAAGCTTTAATAGGCTTTGCAGTTTCATAAAAGAAGGCTTTCGATTGTATTTTTTTTGCATAAGTCTATATAATCTAAAAGATCGAGGGGCAGGACCAATTAGACCCTAGATATTTGATTTTTATAAATGTTGTAGAAGATCACAAGAAAGTGATGCTAAATGCCAAGAATCTTAGCTATGGCCATTGTTGTTACTTAATAAGTAATTGTTGTCTTTTAGACATTTGTTACAACACAGTCTATGAAACAAGTGACTCCCAGGATGGGGTCATAATGGACCCAAGGGGCATGACTATGACTTTTGTAGAGCCTGGGGTCCACTAT